AATGATGGTGGAGGTTGTAAAAACCAGCTAAATGCCATTATAAAATGATTATTTGTGCTATACAAATACTTTTTATGTCTGTTGTCATTTGGAGGAGTGACAAGTTTCATAGTTCAACTTCCTTTGTGGATTTCTCAGTAAGTGATCAAGGACTGCAGTGAGGTGAGCCTTTTGTAAACTCTGTGTTCTTTAACACTTAGTGTTCTAATCAGAATACTTGAAGGCCAAGTGCAAGGGAAGATATGTTAACCAGCAGATAACAAGGATAGAAGTAAAAAAGCTGGCACAGTGGGCATGGGGAGCAGAAAACTTGGCAATAATGTAACTACCCAGGAAGAGGAACAAATGGGATGAGCCCCATGAGTGCACAAACGCCTCTGTTCATTGCTCTCCCCATACATTAGAAAACACGCTTCAGAGGGAGATGAAAGGGATTGTTTTATAGCACAAGTAGCTTTCCTTGCTTGGGCTAGCTTTTTGTTTGCTGATTTTTACTCTGGTGGGTGTGTTTAGCAAATACAGTCCTTTACTAACACTGGGATTGAGGGGTTGGAGGTTGGAGGGATGAAGAGGGAATGGATAAAGTTCTCCCCAGATTTGGCATTTGGTCAAAGTGCTATTGAGCCTGATTCAAAGTCTGGGTCCTAAGTTCAGAAGGTCACAGTATCATAAACCAATGGAAAAGCCCCCGGTGGGGGCTTTGTACTGGGCAAGACAATTCGGGTACATCCCCAGAAGAGGCAACCAGTGAGTCAGTGAGTTTTCTCCCCTAGAGTTTCAAAGAAGGGACATCATAGCTCAGGATGTTGCCGTGAAAGAGGTCCAGTGTATTACGACTTACTGAGCTTTACTGTAATTTACGTCTCTAGTGATAATAAAAAAAAAGTCTTCAAAGTGTTGAAAAGTAGATAAAATAGAAAAATATATGCTTAAGAATACAAAATGAAAGAGAGAGAGAGAGAATTAAAATCCTAAATAGGCAAAAACCTCCAAGAGATTTTTTTTTGAAGGTTTGATCATTGTAAGACATCTGCTTCCTCTTGCTATAAACTAAGTTAATAATATTATCAGTTTATGTTTTCTGAGAATTTACTACTTGCTAGTAGTAAATTTGAGTTACATGGATTGCATTTGTGTCACATAATATCTTTATGAGGTAGATATTATTATTTCCTGCTTAACAGATTAAGAAACAAGATTTAAAGAGAATAAGTAACCTGACCCTATCACTTTCCCATATAAACTTGGCAAGAAGGGAAAGTAACTCCAGAGTCTGTGAGATCCAAAATGGTATAATACTGCTCCCTAAGGAGCTGAGAGGGGAAAATATAGACAGGCATTAGCTACCTGTCTACCACCTGCTTGAGAGTATCATTAAGTTCTGGAGATGAGCCTCTGAAGACAGGGTTGGCATGTAGTTCTTTAGGTTGTGCACTGCTCAAGGGTATCGTTTCTGAAGGGAGGCCTTTCACATATTCTAACATAGGTGGGGTTGAAGATCTGGGACTCTAGGCCTGGAGCTGCTGATCAAGGCCTGAGATAGCAGTCACCAGCACACACACATGCACAAAACTGCATTGGCTCAGTCATACTCTGAGTATTCCTTGAAGTTGTCTCTATTCTTCTCCAACAGCTTTCAGTGACTCCATTCCTACCTATTTTCAAGCCTGGAATGGGGAGTGCACAGAGAATATGTGCAGCCATTGACAGTTATAATCATGTACTATCTGAATCAATTTTCAGGGAAAAAAGGGCCTTTTTCATTGGCCCAGGGATATTAGGGGTCCTGGTGAGGGTTTTAACTACAATCCACAGCACCTCCATTCCTTGAAGCCCCCTATCTGTCGAGTTCTTGGGCTGTGCCAGTTCAAGGCCAACAGAATTAGGAAGATCATGTCTTTTACAAAGAAAAGAACCCCCATAAACTGTTTTCCAGAGGGGAATACTGGGTGTTTTTTAGGTGTGTCATCCGTTTGGATAAGCCAAACGGATGCCCTTGTCCTCTTCCTAAGAAGACTGTCTCCTTTACTGCATTGGTGTTTTTTTGTCCAAGACTGGATTAATAACCCCCAGGCCATGGGGTTGAACGGCAGTCAGTGACCAAACTGCCCACATGGCTTCTCCCGGGGAATCGGAGGGGCCAGGTCAGCTGGAGGGCACAGCTGCCAGACAGCAGGGGAATTCCTCTCCTGAGTTTTAAAGTGTCCTTCGTCTCCCACATGGGTTGTCACATCACTTACTCTGGAGATCATGAGCGGGTCAGATAAAAAGTCTGGGACCCCATGCTGGAGGGAACACAGAGAAGGGAGAATGCAGATCAGGGCGGTTTCCTTGAAGCTCCCGTCACCAGCCCTGGAAAAGTTGTGCAGGAGTAAGTAAGGACAGCAAGGACCCGAACTGGCCTTGATGTGAGTGACAGAGCTGTCTAGTGTACCCCAGTCTTCTAGCACCAGCTCTAGCTTCTGCCAACTCACCACGCTGCCTTCTCTTTCTCCAGGTATAAAGAAACACCTAGAAGACCTGCAAAAGCCAACATTTCCTACAGATACAAAGAAAAGTCCAAGCAAATCTTGCTTCTGTACTGAGATGGATGGAGAAGCCCCAAGGAAGCCTAGAGAACAAAAGGTGAGATGAGATTTTCTCCTGGAGATGAGGGTCTTGCCCTGAACGGGGTATCACACATACCCCCAGTGCCTTTCCCAGAGCAGCAGGTGGGCTCCTTCCAGCATCTCCCTCCTACTCTTCTGCTAGGCCCCAGCAGAGCACATGGTTCTTTAAAAACCTGTGGGAAACACACAAGTAAGCATTAGAAACAAGCAGCATGGGGATCATAGAGGCAAAACTCTTCTTTTATAGTTGCAAGGAATGCAGCATTAGTCAAAGTCAAGACCAAGGTCATTACATCAGCCTCAGCCAGAATAGAACCTCCTGAATCCGGGTCCTGTGCTCTTCCCTGTGTACCACACTAGCCCTGCCCTTCTTGTCTGCTTGGGTTTGGAGTAGAAAAGAAGCAGGGCTCAGGAGTAGTTGGGAACCAGGAAGGCAATCACCAGCCTGAGCAGGAGATGAAGTGGCCTTGTTGCCCAGTAGGAGGACCAGAGGGTTCCCCCATGGGGCCTTAACCCCCAAAGCACAGTGAGCCTTTAGGCCAGGCCACTGAACTGAAGCTCCCTGTTCAGGAAGAAAGGATTCCTGAAGGTCACTGGTGGGGAAGGTAACTTGGAAGCATTCCGTTGAATGATATCCTTCCTGGCCCCAATCAAGGCTGATAACCTTCTGGAGCCATTTTATCTCACACTGTGCTTCCTCATTGCCCCAAGGAGGCAGATTTCACCCCTGAAGCCCAGAGATTGCTGCACCATGGGCTTCAGGGGAACTGGGCACCACAGGGCAGAGACTTTGGCCTCAGTGTGTGCTGTGTTAGGACTTAGCACTAAAGAAAAACTAGCCCAGGGGAGTCTGGGTGCCGTCCCCAGAGGTAGCCTGGACTTGGTGAATATTAATCAAATTAAGGATTAGATGCAGGTGCACCCTGGGAGGGCAGGAAGCTGGGTGAGGCAGGGAGAGGCTAGGACTGCCATGGCGGGACCTGAGATAGGGGACTCACTGAAGGCAAGGGTCTGGGGTGTGAGGAGCCTGGAGGCTTTTCAGAATCTGGCCACTCTTGGGGCAGCCCATAGGGAAGCCAAAGGCCTTGGTGAAGGTGACTGGGAGGCCACACAGGTGACAAGCGGCAGCTACAGGCCCATCCTACAGGCTCTGTCTAGGCTTTTCTCTCCTCCTCTCCGCTGTTTTCCCTCCTCCTTTCACCTCCTACCCTTCCTCTCCTCTTCCCCTTTTTCCTCTTCTTTTTTCTTTTCCTTCCTTTCCCTTTTCTCCTCCTTTCAATTGCCCCCTGCGTAGCCTTTGTCCCAAACTGGCCAATGGCTTCATGTGGTTAGTCTAGTTGGGGGTCAAACCATTGGCTGTGAATATCTTTTTTTTTTTTAAGATTTTGAATTTTTTTTTATTAAGTTGTAGATGACACAGTACCTTTATTTCATTTATTTATTTTTATGTGGTGCTAAGGATAGAACCCAGTGCCTCACACATGTTAGGCAAGCGCTCTTCCAGTGAGCTACACCCATAACCCAAGAGCACCTTCTCAGTATCAGTGAAGTACGTGTTAGAGCAGAAAGGGACAGACAGGGGCCAACTATAGGTCCCAGGAACTGCAGGCAATAGACAGGATTTAAAAAGCAGATTTGTAATTAATCAAATGCATCCACAAATACCCTGGAGAATACAAAAGAAGTATAATGTAAAATCTCTCTTTTCAATCTGCAAGCAGTAGAAGGCCATTGAGTGGTAGCCTTTATAGTGCCATCAAGAGTGGTGGGTCCTTGTGCACAAGAGCTGTGCATTGCACACCTACCTGTACCCAATCCTGTTTCAGAGCCTGAAGGTAGAGGAATGAGATAGCCCTGCACCCCAGGAGATCCCCCAGGCAATGGGAGACACCAGAACAGGGAGATCCCTGTAGACCAGGGGGCAGAGAGGGTCTTCTAGAAGCTGTGAAGGAGAAATACAGTGGCACCCTAGTGCCGACAGCAGCTTGGCCTGAGGTTTAACCTTAAGCTCCTTCTTACTGTATGCACACTAGCAGTGAAGCAGACTACCCCTGAAGGAACCAATTCCCCTCTGCAAGGAGGAAGGCAAGAGCCAAGGGGAATTCTCCACACCCCCAGCCCCACCACCCGCCACTCCTAGCTATGTTTTACAATGACCCCACACAGATTCCCTCATTCCCGTGTGCAGGGATGACTCTGTCCTCACAATCCTAAGCATATATATTTGGGGGGGGGGCATGGAGCCCTGAGACTACCTTTTCCAAGGCCCTGCCATTCCAACTAAGGTCCAACTTCAAGCATGCACTCTTTCCACTCTACACGCTCCATCCACATTCATAGCTTGGTATCAGCAAGTGGGTGCTGGAGCTGGTCTCCTAGAGACAGAGTTGGATGTCTTCTGAACCCACAGAGCTAAAGGTAAGGGACACTTCACGGTGGTGCCAATGACCCATGTGTGTGATCAGGAGTATGAGGACAGAGTCAATCAGGGCAGTCTTGTTTTGTTCTTGGATGTAGCCACCCCAGCCCCTTCTCTGAGCCAACAGAGGTCCCAAAAGCAGAAGGTGCTCATCCCCAGGGCTGCTCACCCAGCTTCCCATTTGCCTCCCCTCAGGCCTCTTTCCATTAATAGTGGTTTTTTTGCAGGTCATCCACCAGGGGGCAGGATGGAAAATGCCCCTCCTCCTCCTACTGTGCCTGCTACAAGGTGAGTCTCAAACACAGTCCAAATTCAGGGCTTACATAACCAGACCAGAGCCTTACAGGCTGCAGAGATTCTTGGAGGGCAACGCAGTGGAATTCTGCACAGTTGAGGCACATTCATAGCTTTCTGTCCTGGGTCCTTGGGCCATGCAGTGGAGCCCGGGAGTGGTCAGATCTGGGCTGGGGAAATAAGAGAGGTGAGCGCTCCTGTGGCAGAACTTGGGACATTTGCTCTGCTACTCATTGTTCTGGTTCTCTGCTCTCTTTCCTTTGAGCTGGTGATCCAAAGTCAGCTCCACTTTCAAGTTAAAAGTTCCACGGTGTAAACAAGACAGAAATATAGCGAGGCTTCTTTACCCACTCATTCTATAAACTCCAAATTGCAGGGCCCAGCACTAAGGTCATAAAAATGAAGATACTTCCCTCCTCTTAAAAGCTCAGAGTCTACAAAGAAACTACATCTGAATAAAAGTCATCTCGTATTCATTTACTTACTTGTTTTACTCTTACTTGTGAAGATCTGACTATGTGCCAGGCACTGGGGACAGAGAAATGAGAGATGGGATCCCTGCCCTACAGGTCCCTGCAGGCTCATGTGGTGAGGCTGACCAGCTTCATGTCGGGTTCAGATAATCAATGTCCCGATCTCCAGTGGCATCTGGATTTTATGGTACTGGGGAGACACTGAGGACTACAGCATGTGCCTAGAATGTCTACTACCTAAATTCTACTTCCAAGTGGAAGCTTAGAAATTAATTAGTAAGTGAATGGAAATGCTATGATAATACCAAAAAGGATTAACCATGTCTGGTTTGTGAACAAATCAAAGTATTAATAAATCAAAGGCAGCCCATATTTGACTAGGTACTCTCTGTATTATATGATCACACCACCTCCTTATTTTAGTATTCCACTGTCTCCTTTAATTTTTTTCAATAAAAGCAGGCTTCCTCTGCCCCCAATCCAGCAGGCTCATGATTTTTCTGCTAACATAGTGAACAGTTAGAAATTAGTTACTAAGTGTCAAGTGTTCTAATTGTGATCACTTTTAGTGTCCAGCTAAATATTTTGGTCAGTGCCTTAATCTGTGTTCAGAGAGTTACCCTTTATCCCCCTACCCCATCCCGCACAAAGCCCTGCAGACCAGGAAGGGGGTGTGGTTGCTACCTTTCTCCCTTCTCTGACACTTGGGATCCCGGTGGGGTCAGAGCAATGGGAGAGAGAGGAGGGGCATGAGGACTGGCAGCTCTTAACCGATGGGATTGCCAGGTTGGGGTTCAGAGCTGGCTGCTCTTCCCACCTCTTCCCTTTGTGGGTGACTTTGTGGACACTTGGAGCTGATGGTTCAGCTCCCTCCCTTTGCCCAGGTTCTTCTTTGGCCCCTTCACACAGAGGATCCCATCTCAGATGGCTGCAGGACAACTTTCTCCCCTCTGGCACCCACCTCTGCATCATGGAAACATTCTTGTCTTCCTCACCCTTCTGCTGGCGGGAGGAGAGTTCCTTGGCAGGTACAGCCCCTCCTCTCCCTTAGTACTGCCATAGACCTTTCTAACACCAACTCTGGCTCAAGTCCCTCCAACTGCAGGCCTCACTCAGCCCTCCCTAAGAGAGGCCAGAGCAACAGGTAATGATGGGTGGGTGAGAGCCAGGAGCACCCACCCACATCAAGGGCAAAGAATTGGTGTCAGAGCCATCAGGATCCTAAAGTGGTAGCCCATTCTTTAATTCTCACAGGTGATATTCTCACAGATGACTAATATAAAATTCCCCCAATAATCCGTTAATCATAATATAAAACCAAGAGCTACTGATCAGTAAGCTACCATATGAGTTCTTAAGGTATTGGTTCTTTACTTACAAATTAATTTGAAAAAAAAAATGAGCATAGCAAGAGTTGATTTAGGATTCTTATTCGGTTTTCTACTGCTAAGTCAGACCTCCCCACCCTGCTGATTAATGGAACAGTGCTCCTCTCAAATGTGCCACATGTAGATCAGGAGAATTCCCGAACGTTTTATCAAAGCATCATTGCTGGTCCTTGTTTGTAATAGTAAATAGTCTTACCTTTAATAAAAGTTAACATTTAATGTTGTCATCAGTGCATGGTTGGGTAGGCTGTTTAGTAAAATTTACAGTGAGAATTAATACAATGTAGCTTGTATAACCTCTACTCTTCTTGTGATTAGACCTAAGCACATATAATAGAGTCAGCTCATGTACAGGGACCCAGAACTTGGCTTAATTTGCTGCTGTGATCATCTAGAAATTCTTAGTAACTTTCAAAAAAGGGGTTTTACAGTTTAATTTTGCACTGAGACCCACAAATTATTTATCTGTTCCTGGCAATAGAATATTAAACAGAACTTTCTTGGCTTCAGAGACCCTAAGGACATAGAACAAATTGCCAGGTACCCACATGCTAAAGCAAGATGCCGAGCCTCCTTGCAGGACTGCAGAAACAGAACGTACACCTGCTCCCAGTGATAGCCCACCATACAGCCATCCAAGCCAAAGAACACTCCTCAGAGGGCAGAGGAGCTGTTTTGGAAAGAGCTGCCAGTGTGCTGGGTCCCTTCCACCTGCTATGTCCCCAGTGTAAGCCAAATAAGAGAAGGAACTTCTAGAAAGCCATCCATTTGTCCCAGATTTCCTTTGACAGCAGGACAAAGGTATGCTCACTGTGACCAAATGGGCCTCCATTGAAAGGTCTACCCAGAGGACACTGTGACCACAAAAGGAGGGGCAGATGGCCAAAAGTCATAGGGTGGTTGCCAGTATCCAAAAAAAAAAAGGTTAGCAGAGGAAAAGCTGGTCTCACAAGGAGGGATCAACCACCAAAGCGACCAAAAAGATATCTGAGTGGCAAAAGAAAAAAAAAGAGTGAGAGAGAGTAAGAGAGAGAGAGAGACAGACAGACAGTTTTGGACATTTGCCATGTGCAGAAAGAACTAAGGGCAGATGATGCCTGTCTCTTTCACTTGTCCCCTCTCTTCCGTGCCCAGCCATGGAGAGGCCACAGAGAGCAGGTTTGAACAGAGGAAGGAGGGAGCAAAACAAGGGACCCCAATTTGTCCCCCTCCTCCATGGAAGGCCTCTAAACCCAGCTGAGAGAAAGGAAAACTTTGCACGAGACTGCCACTGCAGCCTTTTATTGTACTGGGCTGGATATGTCATTTCACACTAGATTGGACTTTTATTACCCAAGAGAGAAAATTAAAGCTACTAGACAATGACTACTATGCCTGAGATTTTATCAAGGAGCAAAGAAATCCACAGAGATAGTACAAAGAGGCAGCGAGAGAAAGAATAAACTTTGTTTCTGCTAGCACCTTATCAAATTAAAGTCACTCAGCAACCGTTACACTGTGGTTCGCCTAGGAATTGCCTTTAGGCTTATTGCCAAAGGCGACCTTCACGGTAGACTCTTCTGTCCTTTCACAGTGGCACTTGGTCATTCCTGCTTGTGCAGAGAAATAGCCAGTGTGAAAAATTCTGCAGCTGTAATCCAGAGAGGTACCCACCAAGCAGAGCAGGATTCCTGTGTTTCAGGGCACACTCTCTTTTTAGAAGAAAAGCACACTGATATTTTCTCATCATTTCATATCTTTACATTCCATGCAAATGGGACCCCTGTGTCAATGCTGCCCCAGCCCTCTTAGATGAGCTTAGATGGCATCTTTTCAAACATCTGTCCTGGAGCGCATGGAATGAACCCAGGTGGACTGGTTAAGGAGACCCAGCATGTGATCAGTGTTAGCTAAGCAGTGAGTAAGATTCTCACTGTGTTTTCATCTTCCAGCTGGGGCCTTGGGTACAGATGCATTCCACATCTTGGGGGTAACTCCTGCTTCCCCAATGGCTAAGCTCTTCCATTTCTGTATTGACTCTGCTCCACTCTCCCTGTGATCTATTTTAGTAGCATTTGAGCTTAAAACTCCCCCAACAGCGACTCTCCTCACCCGCTTCCTCCCCTTTGACTTTTTTCTCTGCCTGCAGCTGCAAATACATTGAAGGGCCCGAAGCTGGTAGCTGGGAAACCTGGGGGAGCTGTCACCATCCAGTGCCATTACACCCCCTCGTCAGCCAACAGACACCAGAGGAAGTACTGGTGCCGTCTGCAGCTGCCAACGAGGATCTGCCAAACAATTGTGTCCAGCAACCACTACACTCACCGTGACTACCAGGGTCGTGCGACTCTAGCAGACTTCCCACAGAGCAGCTTGTTTGTGGTGAGGCTGTCCCAACTGTCCCTGAATGATGTGGGACAGTACCGTTGTGGCATCGGAGACGGAAACAACAGGCTGTTCTTGAACATGAATCTGACCGTCTCTGTAGGTATGAGCCATGTTTGATGAGCCTCATGTGGTGAAGGCTGAGCTAGGAAGGAGCAAGAGAAGACCCAGGCACAGCGAGCGAGGCTTAAACCTTTGGAGAACACTGAGGAAAGATTGGGCAGGTCAAGACTCTCAGAGGTAGCCTTTCATTTCAGAAGGAACTTGCCTTTAGAAAGAAGGTAGATAGCTGAGCGCGGTGGTACACACCTGCATCCTAGAAGCTTAGGAGGCTCAGGCAGGAGGATCGCAAGTTCAAAGCCAGTCTCAGAAACTTAGCAAGGCCCTAAGCAACTCAGCAAGACCCTGTCTCTAAATAAAATACAAATAAAGGGCTAGGGATGGGGCTCAGTGGTTAAGCACCCCTGGGTTCACCACCAACAAAAAAGGTAGATATTAGGAAAAACCTTCCAACAGAATGCACATGAGCTCTTCCACCCTATCCCTGCCCCCTGCCCCAATGCTGTGGAAAATGTATTTTGGAGATGGTTCTGAACAGGCAGTGAATTAGAAAATGTGGCTTCTTGGGGTCCTGAGACTTCTGTGTTCAGACATGCAAAAGGGGCCAGTACTACAGAGGAATTGTGACAGACAGGACAGAAGAACTGGGATTGGGCTCTCCTGTGACAGACCCTTGCTGAGCCTCTCAGCAGGCATTTGACAGCTCCCAAGCCCAGACCTCTGTGGCAGGTTCCAGAGTGAGAGGGAGGGCCACGAGACCATGAGAGCCACTCTGTGCTGGAGGCCGCAGGTCAGGAGCACCAGCAAGGGGAGCAGATGTGGTTCCTGGGCAGCTGCTCTCCACCCATCTGCTGCACCAGGCTGCTCTGCAGGAACCTGTGTTTCTTTCTTCCTTTTCTGAAGAGCAGTACCTAATGGTCTGTGCACCTCTGCGGTAAGGGCAGCACCTGGGACTTGGGCAGCTGGATAGAGAATATGTGTGCCTGGGAGAAGGAGCTAGGAATTTGCAAGGGTCTAGAGGATACACCTGGGATTCCCACCTCTCTATTGTATCCAACATATGGGTCAAAGACTGCACCTCTGAGTGAGGCTGCATGCTGTTTAGCAAATATTTTAAACCCAGTGATCTTTGCTAAATCTAGTTGGTGCCCTGGATAGCCTCCCAATGTGTCCCTCTCTGCTGTTCACACAGGCCCTTCTGAAACCATCCCCACAGCCACTTCAGCTGCTGGTGAGCTAGTCACGACATCCTTTGGGACAGGATCTCCAGCATCCAACAGATGGACCCCAGGAGCCACCCACACTCTAGAACAGGGGACAGAATGGGACAGAGTTACTTCAACTTCAGGAACCAGCAAAATCACAGCTCCAGCGAAGGGAAGACAAACCCCTGCTACAGCCTGGGAAGAAGCTCTGGAGACAGGCAGTGGGGCAGAGGGGTCCATCAAGGCCACAGTCCCTGCTCCAGAGAATCCAGCTTCAAAACCCAGAAGTGTGTCCAAAACAACAGAAGGTGTTCAGGAGTGGGGCACCCACAGCTTAGTCACGAACACACCTAGGGCCAGCGAGAGTGGGAAGGAGAGGACTACTGAGGCTGATAGGGCAGGGCAGGAAACAGACAGGGTCAGGACGGAGCCAGATGCAGCCAGGAGAACCACAGGAACCATGAGGCCATCAGCCCCAGTCTCAGAACAGCTGGCCCAGGAAACCCTCCGAGAAGCAACACCTGTTTCTAAGCAACAAGCCCTGGGCTCCACTGAAGGAGCAACCCCACCTACAGGCATGTGGACCTTGGGCACCACCAGCACAGAGACAGCATCTGTGGAAGGAAGCACTTATGGAGACCTACACAGCACTGTGGGAGACAGGGGTCACCAAGCAACGCCAAGTCAGACCCCAGCAACCAGTCCCCAAGCAACGCCAAGTCAGACCCCTGCAATACCAACTCAAGCCCCAGTAACAGGTCCCCAAACAACGCTAAGTCAGACCCCAGTAACACATCCCCAAGCAACACCAAGTCAGACCCCTGCAACAGGTCCCCAAGCTACACCAAGCCAGGCCCCAACGGGTCCTCAAGCAAGGCCAAGTCAGACCCCTGCAATGCCAACTCAGGCCCCAGTAACAGGTCCCCAAGCAACACCAACTCAGGCCCCAGTAACAGGTCCCCAAGCAATGCCAAGTCAGACCCCAGTAATAGGTCCCCAAGCAACACCAAGTCAGACCCCAGTAACAGGTCCCCAAGCAACACCAAGTCAGACCCCTGCAACAGGTCCCCAAGCAACACCAAGTCAGACCCCAGTAATAGGTCCCCAAGCAACACCAAGTCAGACCCCTGCAACAGGTCCCCAAGCAACGCCAAGTCAGACCCCAGTAATAGGTCCCCAAGCAACGCCAAGTCAGACCCCAGTAACAGGTCCCCAAGCAACACCAAGTCAGGCTCCAGCAACAGGCCCCCTAAAGCCCCCTGGCATGGAATCCTCCATGAAGAGGTGAGCCCCAGGCCCCTCCTCTGATTTTGACCCCATGTCTCCCGATCCTGGCATGCCCCTCTCCCTCTTCTTTCTTCTCTCCCTTTTGTACCTGCAAGACAGTAAAGGGCAGGGGACAGTAAAGGGCAGGGGACAGTAAAGGGCAGGGGACAGAAACATCAACACCCTCCCCCACTCAGGGTCCTTGCAAAACCCTGGTGAGAGGGCTACCTGAATATGTTCCCATGGCTTGCAGGCAAAATCTAAATGTTAGAACATTCTATCCAATGTTTAGGTTGGAAATTTCTAGAACTTTTTTTTTTTTTAAAGATGAGGAACAGGAGTTCCAGAGAGGGGAAGTGACTTGCCAAAGCCAAAAGGAAAGATTGTGGCAGAGCCAAATGCCAAGCCCAGAGTCCTTCCTCCCAATTGCCCCATTTCTCACTAGGGAACACGGTGCAGCCACACACAGGAGGGTGGAATTCGGCAAAGGATTTGGGGTTTGAGACTTAAAGGCAGCAACCCCGTCTCTGCTCCCAACCAGCCATGGGAACTGGGCCCACCAGCCAGCCTTGTTTTCTCTATCTGTAAAATGAGGGGCGTGGGCCCTTTAACCCTCTGTCCTCTCTAACCTCTCCTCTCTTGTCCTCTTCCCATCCCCTCCAGTGCTTTTCCAGAGGTGGAGAGCAGCTTTCAGATCCTGACTCCAGTCTGCACTGTGCTAGCCCCATTTCTGATTGTGGCTCTGGTCCTATTGCAAAGGAAGCTCCGAGGAAATGGACCATGTAAGTTGAGTTGAAGTGGCCCTGAAGCTAGGTAGAGGGTCCTGGTCCCTGTCTCCCCTCCCACATAACCTCAGGCCTGGGTCAGTTTAGAGTCGTAGCCAGGCTTTTGGATGTAAAGCTAAATTCTAGTTTGAATCATCTGCGGCATTCTTTGGAGATTGGCAGGACCTCTGCTAACAGAGGCATAAGCAACCCCAAGGGCAGAGGGCAAGAGTACGGAGCCCAGCCATGGGCCAAACTGCATGTCCACCCTCCTGCCTGGCCTACTGATATTCTCACAGCCATGTGCCAAGTTTAAATACTCCTAAAGTGAGTGTTTGGGGTGTGTAGACCTGGTGAAGAAAGGGTGAGATTTTCTGGGAGCAAGCAGGAAGGCTGAAATCCTCAAAGCCAGGCCCCCAAAGGCCTGGCCTAATTTCTGTTGTCCTGAGGAATTCAGTTGCTAAGTTTTGGGAAGTTCTTAGAAACTTGTGGTGGGTTGAGAAGGTCCGTGAGGAATCCA